AGTACTAAACTAAGTGACTTCTAAAGACTGAATGGTGTTTGCGAACTTCGTATTAGTTATAAACCGACGTCAGCTTCACGTTTATGTCACCATGGAAACAGCCAAAAAACATGTTGCTTGTTTTTGAGCGGAGCGGATCGCCAACCAGCCTACCGGCTTGTTTTAACTTCAATCATTTCTTAGCTCGAAAAATATTAATGTCCATGGCGGAAAAGTACAAGAAAATAGGAAGCATCTCGCTACTCACTGCCAGTAACTGAAGAGTGTTCTTTGTCATACAACTCCAAACGTTCTGAAGTTGCTAAACACAAGATTTTTTAAGAAGCTGAAAATACCCAATTTCTAATTCTAAATCCATGTAAAAGTTTTTCCAGTAAAGTTATATTTCGTTTCTTTGATAAATGTCAGAAGAGATAATCTGGTTCAAATTTGGCCAATAAAAATGTATATAACCACTGTACAGCGCCCTCTATTGTCTATTGATAAAATCTCATCATAAATAATATGACCAAATAATTTTTTTTTTTTGCAATGTTTACTGCAACTAGCAGTAATTTGTAAATTTGAATTGACAAACATTTGCCTCCAAGAGTGCATACCAATATTCATTTCACACTCAAACAACAAAAAAATGTTCTCAAAAAACAAGTCAGGCTCATCGCATCAGGCACTTTGGATACATATCCCACACAGACATGGGTAAAATACAATTTATTTATACACAATTCTAAAAATTACTATAACATAGTGATTAAAATCATTTCAATAATGATAATAATAAAGTGAATAATTACCATCAGGTGCAATAGGCCAAGGATTCTTGTCTTTGTTTACTTCTTCTTCCAGTTTATTTTCTGCTGCTTCTTCTTCATTTTCACTATCTTTTCTACTTTCTACTGTAGTAAAATTAATATTAAACCGCTAAAACTTTGCCCATAATGAGTAAAGAAAATTAACCTTTTCACCACCAGTACCCTCTTTTCATCACAAATTCACAGAATAGTCACGTTTATAGTCTGCACCTCCCTTCAGAAGATTGGGACAAAAACAGTAAAAAAATTCTAGTAAAAACTGAAAATTTACTAAAGTTTTCTCTGTTGGTTCCAAAATCAGGATTCATTTCCAGAAACATAAGAAGAAAGTGCAGAAAAATGTGGGTGAGAAATTCTGGTGGTGAAAATGTTAAGTCAGTGTGCCCTCTAAGCTGATTTGATATATGCTATTGAACACACAGAGATTATAGTTACAGAATTCGTAATTTGGTTAAACAAAATTCACATTTTATATACAAAAGAAAAGAAAGCTTAAAAGAACTCCTGTGTGCTAAGAGTATTGGAGACACATTAAAATTAATTCAAAATTACTTGAACTTGAGATGTTGATGGAAACGCAGAAAATTAATTATGCAAATAAGGTAACGAACAGATTTAAGTGTAAAACTAATAAGGTCTGCACAATGTACCAAGTTTCATTGAAATGTGGGTAGAATCAAAAAAATATTAATTATTATGCTAATTAGAGAATTAATATGAACAGATTTTAACCCAAAATTAATCAGGCTGTCTATTGTCTTAGACAATTTATGTACCAAGTTTGATTCAAATGTGATGATCAATACTTGAGATATACAGTATTAATTAATTATGTTAATTAGGTGATTAAGAAGCATAAATATTTACCAAAAACTAAATAGTCCTACGTTCATTGAAATGTGACAGGTACTCTTGAAAAGTTTCGTTGAAATCCAATGAGTGTTTTTTAGACATCAGTGCAACAGCCATAGAACAGCAAAAAATTAACTAATTATGCAAATTAAGTAATTAATAGGCACAATTATTTATCCCAAAATTAATCAGGTCTCTGCATAGTCCTAGAATATCTATGTCGCAAGTCTCATTGAAATGTGATGATTAGTACTTGAGATATCAGGTGAAAAGCTGAAAATTAACTAATTATGCTAATAAGGTGATTAATATGCACAAATATTTACCCAAAACTAATTAGGTCTCTGCACAGTCCTCAAGTAACTATGTACCAAGTTTCATTGAAACGTGATCATTATTACTCGA